ACATGGTGTGGAAAAAGTGTTGACACATGTGGAAAATCGTGTGGAAAAAGTGTGGAAAAAGTCTTGACCAATGTGGAAAATTGTGTGGAAAAAGTGTTGTCCAATGTGGAAATTATCTTGGACATATAGTGGACATGGTGTGGAAAATGTGTTGACCAATGTGGAAAATCTCTTGGAAATGGTGTGGAAAATGTGTGAAAAATCAGTAAAAATAGATAGTTGTTCTTTTAAAAATAGATACTTAACTATCTAATGGCAGTTGTTTTCTACACGTTTTTCCACACTTTTTCCACATGTTTTCCACACTTTTTCCACAGTTTTTTCCACACTTTTTCCACATGTTTTCCACACTTTTTTCCACAGTATTTCCACACTTTTTCCACACTTTTTCCACACTTTTTCCACATTTTTGCACACTTTTTCCACACTTTGTCCACATGTTTTCCACACTTTTCCCACACTCTTTTCCACACTTTTTCCACACTTTTTCCACAGTTTTTCCACACTTTTTCCACACTTTTTCCACAGTTTTTCCACACTGTTTCCACACTTTTTCCACTGTATGTTTAACGTTTACGTTGGGGGGTTTAGGGTTTAGGGTTTTGACGTTTAGGGTTTAGGGTTTAGGATTTTGACATTGGTATCGTTGATCATCATCACATTAGACAGTAGACACCTAGACACACCGTCTCACACACACACACACACCAAAACAAAACGGGAAAACGACTGATTTGGCTCACTTCAATATCCGCTCAAACCAATCACGAAGCGCTGGTCGTAAACCATCCGAATCTTGCCTCATAAACAAGCGTAAGGAATGCCGCACAGCCAGGAGAGCACAGCACCTTAACCGTCCGATCACGTTTGAGTCTGGGCTTGGAAACAGTGAGCTCTACACGCCAACAAGTTTAACGACCCAAGAACAATGGAATCCACAGAGGTTCTGTGCTGATGCCTCGAGTGACGCCTGTTCCTTTTTATTTCTTGTTTAGTCACAACCAAAAACTACTCTCCACAAAACTGCTTTCAAGGCAGAGCTTAGTCTTAGTTTTGAGTGTTTCCAGGAAACGATGTTTTGCACCTTGCCTTGCAAGGTTGCAAGGAAGGTCACGCAGCCCGCAGCCATGGGAGTACCTTGATCGGTCACACAATACACATAATTTTAATGACAATAGGTTTGTGATTGACACGTGAGATAGGAGCTCTACATCGAAAAGACATCATTTATATAATGGAATCAACTGATATGATGTATTTATATATTGTATATATATATGATAATTGTTACACAAATATAAGTAACCAAACTATATAACTTAATTACAACCTTATAGCCTGGACAATCTGGATAATTAGATAATTATACTTATGCAGTACGCAGTGTTCAGTATGACTCAGCGAGAGAGGGAAACAAGAGCGACGGCGATAGTCGATGGTGCAAAAAGTCCTTCCTTTTTGTTTGCTTGTGCTGGCTCCGCTGCAACTTTGAACAGCCAGCCCCAGCAAACCCACACCAAAAGATCCAATTGCATGCTAGCATCCAACCAAACACTTGGCCTTTTCTACTGGGGGCTGGCCGTCCTTGCTATCATTTGGGTTTGCGAACCCTCATAAACCAACGATTGGCCTTTAGAACGTAGGCTGCCTTGTCATGTTCTGTTGCAGTGAGGTCAAGCCCAGAATCCAGCCATTTGATCAGATCCTGTGCTATATCCTGATAAGTTCCTTCCCAGCCCATCTTGGCTGCACGATCCTGATTCGGTAGTGAGATAGCACATGCACAGTTTTTGTGTACCTTGCAGGTTGCTTTGATGCTGCTCGCACCCAGGTAGTGCAGCCATCCCACATCCATGTGCATCGCGTCCGTAGTAAAAAAGTGCCAATTTGCAGCATCATCTTGAATTCGCAGGGGGGTTACACTGGCAACAACCGGATTGGATGGGCCGGCTTCATTCTGTGGTGGCTGTGGCTGTGCTTCTTCTTGTGGCTCAGGCTCTTTCTCTATCTCATCCTCTGAGTCTTCACCCACTAGGTTTGCCTCCTGAGCAAACTCTCACTTGCTAGCTCTTGCTAGACTGCTACTGCTACTTCTACTGCTAGCCAGTACCAACAAAGCAGCTGACGAAGCAGTGGCGGCTCCTGCTTTATGCCTATGCCTATGCAGCCTATGAAGGTGCACAGCAGAAGCCTAAACAACCTGCACTTGCCTAAACAATAGCAATGCGGTAATGACATAACAGAGTCTTAAGTTCAGCATATTTTATATTGGAACGGAACGTACATTACATAGGTGATACATTGATACATGATACATGTGATTGGTGTCCATATCCGGTCCTCCTTTGCCTGACCAATGCCCATGCCATCAGGGTCGTCAGGGTCCAGCACAGAGTCGATGAGTGCTTGCAGCGGATTCAACAATTCCTCTTCCAGTTCTATGGTTGCCTGAGAAGCAGCATCATTATTCAAGAGTACGCAGTGAGAGTGATAGTATATAATTATAATAGTTAGTAGAGATACTAATAGCCACGTCTAGTCTAAGGTCTGTAAATTAGTCTATAAATGTATTATTCGTTATATATTATATTGTGTATAAGATATAAGTATAAGTTATAAGTTGTCTAAATCGCTAGACTAGACTATTATAGTCTATAAGTTATAGTCTTTAGTCTAGAGTCAAGAGTCCATTGCCATAGTCTATAGTGATAGGCAGTGATAGTCACAGTAGCGGACACTGACACTGTTTGTTGACTGGTCATTATGGTTTGAAGGTATGATCCCAACTGGTTCCAGTTGACCGCAGCATTTGACCAGGTTTTGTCATCCGCCACGTGTCCCAGTTCTCAAATGTCGTCAGTTCCACCAAGACCAAGATGCCCCCAACAGCCTTGCCGGTTCCTCGCTGGCCATGTCGGCAAGCATGTCTAAGACATCGTCGGTCTCTTGCCTTTGCGCAGATCCACTGCCTGCACGTGCCGCAGCTCTGCTGCTGCCTCCTCCATTGATAGCACCCATCCTGGCTTGCCCACCAGCAGCTCGACCGGCCACTGCTGATAAAGTCAACGCGGCGTTTTCTGCAGCTCGCTCACCGACAACTTTGTATCGATCAAACATTGTGGTAAATGACCAACACAATGGCGTAATGAGCACCTTTCCATTCTCTGCACCACTGGTGTCCATGCAAAGCTGGGCCGCCAGCTCATGCTCAGTGGTGAAAGACAAAGCCCCAACACACGCCTGTCCAATAGGAGAACGCCTCTTTCCCACCGGACAAACAAACTCTGCTCGCATGTGCCGAAGAAAGAATGGGAACTCATAGTGTCGAGTTCTCACCTCATAAGTGGCACTGATGATGATTTTAGGTCACCTAAAAAAATAGTAACCAATATCTTAATAGCACTAAGACTTGTCGGGCGTCTCACAGCAAAGTGGGTTTTATATATATATATAGATACGGTACGGCCCATATGCCCATATGGTCCATATGGTGGTAGAGTGGTAGACTATACTGACACTTTGCACCGAATAAGGCAGTCAATACTGTCCTGTTTGGAACAACGTCAACAGCAGCAGCAACAACAATTTACACAATTATATTTAGCAACACCTCCTTGAGTCTGAGTAGCACGATAGACGGATAGACGATAGGTTCCCCAATCTGACTTTGCCTACTAGACTTCCAGCACAGGAGGGTTGAAAACCAGCAATCACTCCAAAGGTGCCTGGTGCGGTTCTTCACGCTGAAGTTCGATGAAATTGGCCTGAGCTGGATGGTGAGCTTGCCGACCAGAGCCAGAGCCAACGGCGAAGAATCGAACACAATTGGGCACCTCTGAAGATTCTTCAGCGTAGCTTTGCACTGCAAAGACAAGTTCTGACTGTCCTGCCAAGGCTAAACAGCGGTAGCAGAACAGCAAACAGCAGCAAACAATCAAATCAATCAGCAAGTGAGGGCTGGAAACGCTTGAGCATCGGATTGAAAAAAACATGCAGCATCACTCATTGAATGTCTACAGTCGAGTCACAGTGGCACTATATGACTGTATTGTATTGCTGGTGGGCTAGTTAGTCAGCATTGTAGTATCAAAAATCAGTGCTGCATACTAAACAAGACAGGTCATCCTGCGCGGCTGATCTTTCTGTTGGGTGCAAAGCCAGAAACCAGGGCCATGATCAGATCCACAATCTTGCGCTGAAACTGCAGCGTTCGGATGGTGTTGCTGCTTGTGCAAAATGCTTTGCACGCCTTTGGAAAGGTGAATTTCTGTGGGATGCTGCTACCACCAGCAATGTAAGAAGCCTCAGGGGTCGAGGTTTTCTTTGGAACATGTAAGACAGGCGAACAATCGGGACAGTTCCTTCAACGGTTGAGATGATGCACCCTGATACTATGACTGTGACTTGGACTATGCCTAAGCCTAAGAATAATAAACATATTGAATACAATGATAGCTAGAGCAGCCAGACCATAAGCAATGATAATAAGTAGGGTTGGAAACTAATACGTCAAGAACATGACGTAACTTAATTAATGTTATAGTTAATTAATGATACACATTAAAACGGAGCATACAAACTTAAAATATTTTTGTTACGTATAGCATAGTAGTGCAATCACACATCAGAACAAAGTAACACTGTCAACTGCCATCAACTATATATATTTTTGTAATATGTTTATTTAATTTCTATTTATATATATATTATATATATATATAATAAATAAAATTTTGCTACAGTCTCACATCCTTTCCCGGCCATTTGTGACAACAACCATGGACCAGCGACCATCAACCTATGTCATTTGACATCATAAGTGGGTTCTTGTATTCCGAACTGTATTACATTCAAGCTTCATAGCCTTCAACAGTCTATAGACTGACTCTCAATCAACTTTATTTACTACTAAAAACAGCAGCAAGGAGCAGCAAGCAACTACAGCATAGTATCTAGTAAATTTAATATCTTACTATATTTACTAACTAACTATTGAATATTGTATATACAGTGTTACAGTCTGTTACAGTGCCGCTACATGGCCCTTGGCCCTTGGCCTTTTTCTGAAACTCAGCTTCATCCTTCTTGACTGAATAGCCAGGACTGCAGAAACGGTTCTTCAGCGTGTCCACGTCGATCGGAAACGGATGCTGCATCACTTGTCGCTGCTCTTCGTAGGATGAGAGAGCTTGCTCAAGCAAGGGCAATCGAAGGGAGTGGCACCCAACTGATTCTGGAAATGGAGACCGGTCAACATCACTCTTGCAAATGTCCAACTGGTCTTCCTGCCCAGAAACGATGTTTCGCTCATCGTCTGCTGGTCTAGGCTGGTCCAACGCAGTACCATCATCCTCCTTTTTCTCATCCTCCAAGCATCTCTTCTTTGATTGTGTTTTCTGAAGCTTGGCGTGCTTTCTTTGCCTCAACGGTTTGCTTACTTGGCGAAAGGTATCTACTACAGTTTGCAGTTCTTTGGCACATGCCATATGACATATGACGTATGACATGACATGTGATATTACAGATGACATGATATGTTTGATATGTTAATCTGAATCTGAATCTCATTGAATCATGTCAGCAGAGCGCAAAGGGGCAACAACAAACTTTGACATCTTTTTTGTTTTGATAAACCTTGGCAATTGGCATTGTATCAGTGATTGTCTGTTCTTTATGTTGTATTTATAGTTTCTATAGTCTATAGTTGTTTCTTAATTCTCATGACTATTCGACTATTTGACTATTTGATTGTTATTGGACAATTTATCCACGAACCCGAAGTGGCCCAAACATTTCCATCACTCTCTGACAACGGATGAAATATATAAGCCAGGCTGCATTTCTACAACCGAGCGGGATGCCTCTGCCCTCGCAGACAGGGCAGCAAGACACTCTTCAGACAATGCTGCGAACTCATCCTTGCAAGCTTGCCAGCACGCTGGATCGCCAGGCCACCTCTTGTTGCCAAGCTGCTTCTCTTTGGCAAACCACTCCCGTCCTTGTTTGCAGATTAATGGTCACAAACGTGCGCAGGTTTATTATCTATGAGTGAGTCTATGAGAATTATGAGTTATGAGTCTGTCTGTTGGCATTGCGGCTGTGCGGCTGCGGCATAGGCAGAGGCTCAGGTACCGGGACATGTAGACTCTACTACGAGTCTATGATGCGCTTGTGACATATGATACCTGACATTGACATGTAACATATGAATTAGAATCATATAAATCTATGTAGCGTATGTACAGTATGCAGAGTATGCGTGAGTCAGTGAGTCAGTGACACTATTGACTAAGTCTATATATTGACTATTGACTATTGAATCTTGGAGTCATTGGAGTCTCTTGTCTAGTGTTCTTTATTATGCGTCACTTTAGGCTAAGTTGCCTGAGTCATTCACAGTTGTTTTCTCAAGGGTTAGAGGACATAGCATAGCAAATTCTAGGCCACCAAGCCTGTGGTTAGACCAAGACTCACCACCATTACTGGCAGTTCAACAAGGGCAAGGTAGGGTAAGGTCAGGTAAGGTAAGTCTAAAGTATTTAAGTTTTAAGAATTTAAGCTGCTTAAAAAGTTTAAGTAATGTGAGTAAAACTAACGGTCGAATTGAAGCCTTCAGACTGAACAAGGCAAAACGGTAAAACTTTGAAACAGTTCAAGCATCTCCACAAGTCCCAAACGCTGGGCGCGCGTAATCGTTGTTTCTTCACCGCTTCACTTCTGACAAGACTGGTCTCACTGGTCTCTGGAGCTTGGTCGCTGTGGTTTTCAAGTTCACGTGCATGTCTTTCCTTTTCGAGCCGCTCCAGTGCCATCATTTGATGACGCGCCTCTGCCAGCACAGAGTCCTCGCTGATGGCTAGTGGATGGAAGTAAACAAGGAACTTACAGGGCGGTGTGTGTGATTGTGTGTGCCCTTCACTACATGATGTTGCATAAAGCCGCCCTTTGAGGAAGAACCAAAGACCAAAGACAAAATGCTGCTCAACGACAAGAAAGTCTCAGCTGTGAAATGGCAAAAGGGCATTTGGGGGTGTGCATTGCGCTTGTGGGTGGCATGCCGCCGCTCCACACCAGCAATCGTCCCCTTGATAGTGAGAGCCGACATCAGCAATAGCCAGCGCCAAAGTGGCCTGGGATTGTTTGATCGAACAGTGTGGCTGACTGCCACTCACGAACAGCTCTAAGCCTTCCAGCTCATTCTTCAGATTATGTTAAAGTAAACTACTTCTACAACAACAACGCTACTACACCACAGGCACGGCTGGCTATGCACCAACGCCACGAACACGAGTTCTTGAGTGGCCCAAGATCCAAGCAAAGTAAAGCGTCAGATTGAAAAAGACTGGAAACTGGAAAATAGTAATTACAGTTGTCATCCAAATTGCAATTGTTGGATGAACGCATCCATGGAACCCACAACAGTCCTGATTTGTCGGGAGAAACCTGCCGGTAGGCAGCACATAGGCGTTTGCCAGAACTCCTCAGTCAGCGCCTTGTGGTCGAAGCTGCTTCTGCGCATGTCTGCTATCCCAAAAAGTTTCCAAGGCCACCTGCGCACTGTGGAGCTGTGTGCATGCTACACATTGGTTCTCTAGCGTGAGTACCATGCAACATCGCAAAGTCATATGATTCATATGATCATATCATATGTCTCATATGATCATATGAATCATATATCCTGGTGACACATGTTTTGTGTAATGCGACGTGCAATGCGACAATGGTTCCTCCCTAGCCCTTGGATAGTTTCATGATCAAGCATTGCACAGCAAAAAAAAGTAAAACTAGGATGGTCCATGGAGAATAATGCGTGACCCCCTCCATGATCATAAGGCTCGAGCTTTTGAATTCCTATACTACGTCAGGTGATGACTACGACCCAGTTGTACGACCATGGACGTGGACCATGGACCTGGACAATGTGCCATGGGCCAAACACTCTGACCAATAGGCAAGAACGAACTCGGTAGAGGCATTATTTAAATTAAAATTGACCTTGAGATTGACTTTCCCAAGCCTGTATAGGGTAGTGTGGTATCGCCTCGCAAGCACCGTTGCCACCAAAAGCAACTGTGACCTTGTTGCACTAACCTGAAGCGGCTCCTCTGCACACCACTCCTCAAAGCTTCTGCAGCCACTGATCTGGAAAAGGAGCCGGAGCCTTGAACACTGGTTGGCCAGGAAGGTTGAGAAGTATTGCAGAATTGCCACGTACATGCCTAAGCTGGGTGCTGGGCTGAGATGCTTGCGCTCGAGACAGGTACAGGCCAAGTACCAGTACAGCAACAGGTACGGCAGGTACAGAACGAAGTACAAAGCCTACTTGCAAGCCTTCACTCCAGCCACAGGAATGTGATGTAAGTTAAAATTGATAATAACAGTTATGAACCTTAAAAGACAAAATATTTCATCTATTTTTATATAATTGTTATTATACGCTCATTTCGTGACTACCTTACCTAATTGAATATGTAGCTGTAACTGTAACAGTGCATAATAGTGAGTGAGTGTGTATAAATATATAGTCAGTAGTCAGTCTATAGTCTATGCTTTGTCTTGTCCGACGCATGCCAAAGTCACTCCAAAAAGACACCAGCGTTGCTTACGATCGCTGGACGTAAGGGTGCTCATCCTTGCCCTCGTTGTCTCTATCGCTTATCTCTCTCTATCACCATCACTACCGCTGAGACTCAATTCAATGATTGCCGATGTCATAGAGGCATTGACATTGACCATAGACTAGACTTTGACATAGGCTATACTATAGACAGTGACATAGACATTGACATAGAGTGAATCATCATGAGTCATGAGTCAGAAAAGTTGGCACGGAGAATAACACCATACAAACCCCGTCCGGTCCGCTCCACTTCTGCCATGCGTTGGGAAAACAAGCGGGAGAGCAGGAGAGCAACTAGTGGCGTTCAGATTGCATGAATCCAGCAGGGAAACAAACAACTCAACTCAACTCAACTCTGTATCAAAAGCAGACAAAACACAACTTTGTAAATGGCTTGTCAGTCCATAACACCACAATTCACAGGTTTCGGACCTAAACAAGAAGATCCAAATTCAATTCCACCTTTCAAGCGGCTTTGGGCTGGCCAAACTTCATCCAGTAGTTTAGGGTAGTTGCGATCATCGGCTGCGCTATGTGCAAACTTCAGGAAGGAGGAGTGAAGGTGGCGAAGAGGCTCCACCACCACAGCCAACAATGTACGATGAAACCGTTCTTGCCGGCCTTAGCTTAGATGCAGCCCATGGCAACGAATCAATGAGTCTGACTACTGCCACTTACTTGCACCAAACGAGGTAAGTAGGCCTAGCCCAGTGTGTGAGGACCAAGCCAAACTAGATCAACAGATCAAAGGTGAATAGTGAGTCAAAACTTTGCGCAGGTCGTCAAGCTGAAATGGCAGCCCAGGCGCAGGCCAAGCATTTTCTCATCCTTTGGAACCGCCGTCCAGCTAGCTGGTGCCATTCTATTTGCTCATCATAATCTTGGCGAGCAGGCGCTTGGTGCTCAAACTTGAAGGCCCAGGAAGCTCGTTCGAGAAGTAGCGCCAATATTCCTGTCAAACAATGTTGAGACAGGTCGCTCATTGTGTTAGGCCACGTCATTGCAGGATTTGTTTGTTTTGCTAGCCAGGTTGCAAATCAAGCCATTGTTCATTGGACTGAGCGGGATGAAAGAAAACTATAACTATAACCGATGATAACGAGTTTCAAAAATCTATCAGACAACATATCAAAAAATAGAGTCGGGTCAACTCTACCAGAACAAGGCGCAAATCAAAAATGACACAACGTACCTCTCCTTGGTGTTCTGTGGCCAAGAAAAAGTCCAGCGATGGGCCCACTTTGGTCCAATCTGACAGCATCGGAAGCACTGGAACATATTTGAAGAGGATGCGGACAATTGCGTGAATGACTTTGTCTTGTGCCTCTTCCAAGGAAGAGCAGCACCTCAAGTCAGATCACTTGAGTTCCCACACTTCGGAGGCTTCTACTCGGGTCCAACTTTCAAACACAGTCCGTTGCTGTAACATGTAAATTATTAAATTGCGAGTTGAGGATATGGACTGGATATAATTGTATAATATGACTTGGATTTGGACATGGACCCACGGTGCAAGTATTGTCAATTGTCAGTATTCTGTAACCCGAATAAACAATACATACACAGAACACAAACACAGTCAGTCAGATACACAGTCCGTCAGTTACACAGTAGGATAAATTCAACTTCCAGCAGTCGAGGAACGAATTGATGCATAAATGCCTTATTTTGTCGCGCTTCCAGTATGGAGAGTTCAGCACCTTAAAGCATTCCTTGATGTCCTTTGCTCTTTTCTTCTGGCCTGGGTGCGATGGATTGGATGACAAATGAAGGTGTCATAACTACTGTGCAAACACACACGCACAGCGGTAAGTTTCACAGGCAACCTGAACCTGAACAGCATTTTTCACGGCCAAGGGAAAACCGTACCTACAGCGTTTAAAACAAGCTTTTAAACTAAAACCTTTTAATTTTAACTCCTAACGGTCCTAACTCTTAATCTTAACTGTTTGAGTTTTGAGTCTTAACTCTTAACCTAACCGCCTTAACCAGTGTCTTCTAGAGTCTGTAGTCATAATCTATAGTAATGCATAGGGGCGACTATCAACTGGACTTGGAATTACTTTTCATGGCAGTTGAACTGTTGAATGTCTTTGCTTGAAGCGCACCTTTGAGAGTCCCATCATAGTCGACGCTCATCGTTCTGTCGTGATGAGGGATGTTGTCTATGAGGTAGGCAGACAGTTCATCAGCAAACGCTTCACCTTCATGGAGCCGGTGTGGATGTGGATTGGGGACCCATTCAAAGCAGTCGCTCTTGACAATAAAGTTGACGCTCACCAATAGACGGACAAAATGCCCGCCCATTCTCAGAAAAAGCGTGGAGCAATACCTTGGCTGGGTTGCCAAAACTGGCCAAAACTAAAGTCCAGACTAAACTGATGTTCAAAATAGGCTGCACGGATTTGCTGCGAATCTAGCTGGATTGCAGAAACTGTATCAAACCACAGCTGACAGCGGAGGTTATAGGTCTGGACCACTGAACCACAGTACCACACCAACTGCAGCTGAGGGTTGCTTCCCAATATGATCGGGATGATTCTGGGATCCGGATGATGATAGTGAGTCTGGGGTTCCTCGTGGAGACGGTGGGCTCAAATTGCGTCCAGTGGGGAGTTGGGAGGAATCGGGTACCTGATAAAAATTGAATCACATCTCATCTCACCTTCAAGGCATATAATATAGTTTAATCACACAATGCCTATGCCTCCGCCGCCCTTCTTAAAACTAAACCAATTCCACCGAAGATGGCAAACAACAACACAAACTCTCTGCTCAGCTGCTCAACCCTGAAAAATATTGTTTGAAGCTTGACGTCTTGATTTTGTAGCAGGCTTTCCTTGCCACACCTTGGGCTAGCCTACAGCTATTGCATCCCGTACTTCGCAGTGACTGATTGCTGTCGTTTTTGGTCCTCTATCGAAAGGGAACAAATGAGTCATGACATGAGTCACTGAATTAGACTAGAGGTCGTCCCTCCAACTAAAAACTCCAAAAATAAAGGCTATATATAAGCTGAGCATAGCTGAGCTATTGCCATCGCCTTCTGGCCTGCTTTAGTTGAACGAAGTTTCGTTTTGGATACCAAGGCCAAGGCACATGTTTTGCAACAAACGCCCACCAGCATCTGGCGAAGTAACAGCATTGTCAGCTACAGAGGTCACGCAAAGGTTTGCCTGGTGATTCTGGCAGCGCAATGAATCCATGCAAATCATTTGGTTTGGCGCCTTTCCTGATTCCTGCAGTCGATGCTCTGAGACGTGGCAGCTTGTGATGGCCGCTGACGATTCTAGGCTCCCTCCCCACTTTTAGGCTTGAGTATACTGCAACATCAAATGACTGGACGGAAGGATAATAATAATAATAATGAAGGTTAAGTTAAGGGCGTTCAGCGATCTTTCCCCCCTTAAAACGGAAGCAAAACTGGAAAGGCAATTTCCTGTGGCGATGGAATTTGGAGTGAACCAATTAATTGAATAAACTTAATAGATATGAAGTCATGCTGCTTCAGTACTAGACTCTAGACTCTAACCATAACTTATAGTTAAAAAAAAGATATGCTATATAATTTTTACATTACATGATGTTACATTTTTCAATGATTGCAGTGCACAGTATGCAGTGTATATGAACGCCGCACGGATAGCTCTATTGACTCAGCGTTGTATAGTTGTATCATGTATCATTAATACAGTTCTTACAGCCCGTCAGCAGGTTGAAGTTGCAGAATGCAGTACATTTTACCGTGCACAGTTCAGTTTACAAGTATGATACTGATACAGATACATGATGTAAAATGACTATAGACTATGTCAGTATGTCTCAGTATGTCATGTCACTATTCAGTACTTTATGTTAGGTTTTATGAGTTAGTATAGTCCAGTAATGCCGTAGCAGTGTGCAGTGTGTGTTCTCACCAGTATCAGTACAGTATACAGTATGACTTGACAGTATGTTTTTGCATGCTGCATGAAGGTTCGCCCCGTTTCTCCTGTAAGACTCGCCAGTTGATCAGTTTCTCATTGGCCAAGTGCCCATCGGTTTCATGCATCCACAACCGTGCAGAAGCTGCGTTCAACAACTTCTCCACGAGTGCAATGATGGGCGCCGTCATTGGATGCGAGAACAAGCCATTGTAGATATTATTCGAAGAGTTGGACACCAGTGGCACTGGTGGCATTACAATTTCATGGTACAGCTTCACACCATGGACCCAGCCCATTGCAACATGGCATCGCGTCACCAATACTTGCCAAGTGCTGGATTGTTGGTGGGGCTTCAAGACTCCCTTTACCTCAGTTGGTAGTTGTTAGTTGTGGCTATGACTTCTGAGAATAATTTCTGAATGTCTCTAGTTTTGATTCAGTAGGTCAGTTGTCAGCAAGAACAGCGAGCAGTGAGCAGCTACAAAGCTCAAGTCAATTATTCCCAAAGTACTGCAAAACAAAGTCAAGTCCAGTAGCCGTAGCACTAGCACGACTAGCACAGTACCGACGGTGCTACTGCGCCTTTCAAACTTGATTGAGTCTCTCAAAACACAGCCCGCCGAGAAAGCAAGACCAAGTCGAGTCGCAACATTCAAGGATAGCCGCTCGCCAGTCTCATCCCACATCAAGCTGCAGCATGCAAAATGAGGCTTGTGCCTCTCAGCAAAGCGCACCAGGTCCTCCAGCTGGCGCAACTGCGTCTCCAGCAACACATGCGCCGTAGTCTGGAGCGTGCGGAGAACTGTTTGCCGGGACACCTGCCAGGTAGAAGCTATGTTATGAGAGGTAGGTACAGTCGTTTGAACTTTAGCCTGGGCTTCACTGTCCTAGTAGCCCCAGCGGCCCGCCGGCCTATGACTATTGCTAGTCACTTGAGTCAAGCTACAAATACAGTATAAAGTCAGTGTTCAGCCTTGTTTCCTAGTGTTTTTTGGTCATCGTCTTTAGAGAGCGAGTCATAAGTCATACGTTTTGTTGCAAGAACAGGCCCGAAATACTTAATGCATCGATAGAAAAAAGTAAAGTATCATGATAATTATTAATGATAAATGATAATGATATGATATGATGATATGATGTGATAAGATATGATAGTTCTTAACAAATGACTTTCAGTTATAGATAATGACAACCATTATGAACACAGTTAACCGAACTGTTTACCGGAGCTATATATTATAATTGTTACTGTTGCTGTTTGATACTGTTTGTTTATCATCGAACAAAAACAGTGACAGTGTTACATATCATAATGTTTAATTATTATTCAGTGTTAAGAAACAATGATGCTGCGTCCTGCCGCATGCTTCCTGCCCAAAAGCGATTATGATTTGTCGGTCTTGACCTCGAATGTTGACGTGCACTTTCGATGTGCCAGTTCAATCGTTGCTTGGTCGCTTGTGAGTGATGCTACTGGTAACCTGGACAGGAACCTTCTTCTACTTTTACTTGAGCAAAAAAGGTCTTCTTGCCCACCCCCACTCCTTGTAGCGATCTGAAAGGGCATGCCGGTTCTTGCGCTTGTCAAAAGCCATGTTTAGGATCTCATTGAACCCCAAGGCTCTGCCACGTTCCCCACATCTTGCATTGCCACCAATCACGTCCAACTTCATTGCCCCATATCTCGATTTTTGGATGTGCAACTTGGGGCCTCTGGTACCCCTGACAAGTTCCACTGATTGGCTAAAGTCAGACAGGGCTTTGGCCTGGTTAGAGATGACCCCATGCAACTTCTTTTGCATCTTGGCAGCTCGGCCAACAGCAGCAAGCAGCTGCAATTGACCGGAAGAACGTGTTCGCGCATCTCCAACACCAAATGAGCCTGTTCTGCATGGTTCTGAGTCAGGTATTTCCTCCGGGAAACGGACATGACGTGACTCATGACGATGTGCCAACACTCTAGTCACTAATCAATCACTAAACAGAAATGTCAGAAATGTTGCCGCAACTGAGATGATAATTCCGCCTAACTACTAGTTACTACTCCTGACAACAGGAGTCACTGGTGCAGGACTCCTGTCGACTGGCTCGGTTCATGGTTTGCAGGACACAATGGGTCACTGTTTCGCGTTCTTGTAACAAAAAGAACAACTGATAAAGCACATCGACTGACATTGACTCATTGACATGAACAACCTGCCAATGATGCAAGTTTTTGGATTCGGGATATGATATACCAAATGAAACATTCAGAATTGCCAAGCCATCAGTTACAACACACACACACACAGCACGCGCGCACACACACACACATCACGTGCCCGGTCCCGGTGCACAGTCCTCAACCTGCAGAGGATTTGAACCAATTGACTCATCGTCGTCATCATCATCGTAGTCGTCATCCGCTGGGTCCTGGCCATGTCACAGTTGGAATTGGGAATTGGAATGTTAGGAATGACTGTGGCTTTGATATCTGACATCTGATACACTCAGTTACGGGTGAGTTAGGTGAACCTAGTTGAAAAGGTTAGTCCCCGAGCCCAAATCAACATTCGCTGCTAGCATGAATAAGTTTGCTTTGACCTAAGCCTAAGATATACTTATACTTGTTATTGGAATGATAACACTCCGGAAATAACATGTAGCATATACTCAGGCCCTGCCTGTTGGTCCCCATCATTGTCAGAAGCAATGTCGCCGAAAAGGTCACTGTCCAAGCTAAGGTCCTCAGGAGTCAAAGGAAAGCCAAAGACAGTTCACCAAAGAAATCATTAAGCTAGATTAATTTGATAAATTTGTCGTTTGTCAAGTGCCCTTGTCGATTTTGTGTCTCCCACCAAGCAACTTCAGAAGACATAACTGGGGCAAGCGAGGGAAATTAAAGACTTAGACTCGGTTTCAGCGCTAACTGCAACAGTTTAGGCAACAGTGAACAAGCTGACAAGGTGAACCTCAGAACACCGGTATAATTTAATTGGTTGCTTGCTGCTTAGTTTTGGTTATCCCTTGTTCCCCTGCAAAATTTGGACGTTTGGTCTATGCCTCCAAGTGCTGGGAGGGAGTGGCTTCTACACCATGATCAAGCTCTTCCAGCAAATCAATCTCCGGCAAGGAATCAGGATCGGCCATGGCTCCTTGCCATGGGATGCTTCCTGCATGCACGCTGCATGCTGCTTAGTATTTGTGGTGTTGAAATTACTGTACTGATTTTTTCAAGTTAGAGTCCCATTTTCAGAGTTGTCTACATATCATACGAATAAAGTGATTAACAACTATGTAACTATGTAATATGTATATATATATATAAATATGTTCTGTTTTATAGTCCGGCTAAAAAGGTTATAAGGACAGTGCCCCCTCACTGCTGTTTATATTGTTCATTCTTTTTACCCTTTTGCTATGCAAACCCCCTCTCCAAAGCCAACGGCCTGTGTCAACGCAATTGAGGCGTGTGACAGGTGACTGTGCCAACCTGTGTCCCGTGTGTGAGGCTACCTAACCACGAATTCAAAGGAGGTAAGTAAGTCACTGCCCAAATGTTAAAATGCTAGTTTGACATCACAAACCGCAGTCACAAACTCATAGATTTCAGAAACACTGAACTCCAATCCAATCATAACCAATCCGATCCCGTAGGCAACAGAAGCAATGACAAAAAACACAAGATCTTACATAGGATTAGAATTATCATGATTACAAATTACAAATGCTGTATTGAAGACAATTCAAGTAACCTATTAGTCCAATATATATATATATAATATGTTCACCCTCCTCCCTTCTTCAATCGGGCTGAGTCCAAGCACGCACCGCCACCGCCATTTGCGACTGGAGGCGCCTGGCCAGCAAAGGTAGTCACTCTCCCGGGTCCATATTATTTTTACACGCTATTGTATTGCCTTGCCCTCTTGTTACAATGGTTGAGACACCAGACAACACCAATCAATATCGCACAAACACAGGCTTCATCTCCGGCGCGCACTTGGTTTAGCCAATTTTGGCGGATGTTCGAGGCCATCAAAATTGCGCCTGTAAAAACCATTATTGTGCGACAAGTGGCCAGTGGATCAGCTGGATGTCACATGTGAGATTCCCTTATCCGAGGAGCTTGAGACATTTGTGGCGTCCTCGTCCTCATTCTCATTCGTTTTAATCAGGCCGCGTGCCAGCAGCTCATTCAAGCAGTAGAAGAGAAACCCCTCGCTCACTGGTGTTGGCTTCAGTGCCAGCCTTCGTTCCCGCCGTTCCTTCATCTGCCGCCAAATTGGCTCCCAAAGAGTTCTCCTTGGATTTTTGCTGCAACAACACATTCTAAACTTGGGGTGGTTTGGGTATGGTTGGTCGTTGAAACTTGAAGCAGCAATGACAACATTAACATTCACATGGTACAATATCACTGATGTCCAAATGCAACAAATCGAGAGTAAAGCCAGCGGCGACATCGTCCAAACACAAGAGAACACTGACTCGACCGTCAACCAAGCTTCACCGCTTCTTCTCTGTCAAAGGTATGATTGGTCGTTTGGTAGAACTGGTAGTAGGCTTCCACTACATCGTACACCCGCAGCAGCGGATGATTCGGTGGCAGCTCTTTCTTTGTAGGCAGCGTGGCAGGCTCCTGTGGCACCAAGATGGGCGGCAGCGGTTCCGCCTTTGGCTGTGTGTCCTTCCACTGCCGCTCATCACTCCTAGAACCATGTTCCCCGGACTGGCCATCATAGGAACTTGAGACGGGTGAAGCAGCCAAGACGGCGTTTGTATCGCAAATCCCACTGCCACTTTGGCTGCCTGACCGGCACTGCTTCAGCTCCCGGTTGGCACCCTCGGGGCCACTGTGGCCATCCTCATAGAAAGCGCCTGTTGTCGCCAATCTTTTTGACGGTGGCTCATGCCCATCTCCCTGGCGCTTCCTTTGGTTGTGTCCAAACATAACTATGACTATGAGCCACGGTCAAATGTTGTTTTGACTATTTAAAAAATCAAAGGACATCAGTGACATGACATAAGGATTTGATGAGTGTGTCATTGTCAAATATCGTTATAGTAAGTTGTAGTTTTCTGCAAATTTTGACCGTGCCTCATATACAGCATGCGACGTGCCAAATTCAACCCTCAATCCTCGGCTTGGTGGATATCAAAATTCCTGCCTGCATTGACGGTTTGGTGGTTGATTGCCCATGGTCCAAAATGAGTTGCGATGCCACGAAATGAAATGCATCTGGATTAAGATTGGGCCAAAACTTCGGATCAAAGCATCGTAAGGTGGCCCAAGGCTAAGGGAGGCCCACGAACCCATTCTTGTTTTTGGAAAATTGGGAAACTCAGTATAGCCTGTAAAAGGCCCATGGCCCATGTTTGACCCAACTGGTCCTCCATGACCTGTTTGACATCCGACTAATGATAAAACCATCGCAGATGCTCAAGTAGACTGCCCTCTTCCCAGCATTTAGGCCTCCAAGCGAAAGCCTCACCAATCACCATGGACCATGGCCATGGCGGCTCGTGATCTGTGGATGGCTAGATTGGAAAACGATGTGACATTATATCAGACTAAGTTGCAAAATTTAGAGTATTACATAATGTCGATTGTCGATCATAATGCGCCATATATTTAATGAATATGTTATATTATATTATATTATATATATATATTGTCTATTCATATTCTGAAGTACTGTAAGAATCTTTGATGTGTATTTATATATAAAATATTTTTGTATTTAGTTGAATATCATTAGAATTATATATCATTATATATATATGTATATATTTTGATATATAGTCTACCTATCTACATGTCCGGTCCTATGGTAGATTCAAAAATCAAAAATATGAAGTTCAAATTTGAATATGTGTGTCTGTGGGACATGTCATGTTACGACAAGTGTTGAAGCACCATGGACCATGGATCAAGGACCAAAACCAAACAGCTTGTGACTTGTGAGTGTAGTGTTTGCACTTCTTGGAGGGGGTACACGCACACTAAAGTGTCAAGTGATGCAAGTGTCCCAAGCACGACTCATCTCACTCACAGAATTTGAAGATTCGCCTATGCCTATGCCTATGTCACTATGTCACATATAGCCTATGTCTATGTCACTGTCACTCCAGGTACCACTTGTCAGTGGTTTGCAGCAGGTGCATAGACTCAGGTAACGGATCAAACCTTAAAAGGGACTGCTGCCGTCCCTGATGCCACTATACAGCACACAACTTTCAAAGACCGCTCAAGAGTCAGGAATCGCATGCAGTGAATCAGTAGTTAGTTTGTACAAAGAACCCTTGATGTTCATACATCATGGCAAGCAAGACGGCTTCCGCTAAACTCACTGCAAGAAATTGCATGCGAGCAAATGGAATCTGAATCTGAAACTCCATTCTCCCCAAGATGGAAGCTGGAAGTTGATTCTATGGCATGGCAGGAGGTGAATCTTCCAGATACACGCACAGCTTCTGACTATAGGGGGCTTCACTGTTTCACCGTTTCCCAAGGAAGGATGTTTGAACTCCCGCGAAGACAACCTCAGAAGTGTTGAGAAGGCTCCTCGTATTATCCGCCGACTAAACCAAACATTCTTGAAAGCGTGGAACACACACCTCGAACACGTGGAAAAAAAGCACTCTTGAGAGCCTGGAAACAAACAATTCGAACACGTGGAAGAAACGGTCTTGAAAGCGTTGAAAAGCACATCAAACACATGATCATGGAATTCTTGAAAGCATGGAACGGCACCTCAAAAAAACGTGGAAAAAACACCTTGACAGCGTGGAAAGATGTAGGAAACATAGCTCGAAAACGTGGGCAACAACAGCTCGAAAGCGTGGATAAAAACACCTGGCAAAGTGTGGAAAGAACAGCTCGAAAGCGTTCAAAAAGGATTGAGAAAAGACACCTCGAAAGCGTGGAAAACATGCTGAAAAACAGCTAAAAAACATGATAAAATGTGCTGAAAAAAACAGCTCAAAAGTGTGGAAAAAACAGCTTCAAAGTGTGGAAAAATTAGCAAAAAATGTGGAAAAAAACAGCTCGAAAGTGTGGAAAACAACAGCTAAAACACGTGGAAAA